GAGTCCCCATCATGAGAAGTCACAGTGTGGCTGGAGTCCCCATCATGAGAAGTCACAGTGTGGCTCAAGTCCCCATCATCACGTTTATGTCCGTAGCTCCAGAAGGCCATTGTAAGGCAAGTCACTGGTGTAGGAAACCCCCATTTCCCTCACCCACTCTCCTTGTCCTCCCCATGTGAGCAAGGACATACCTGTGGCTCCTTGCAGACAATCAGCTGCTGCCTCCTAGGGGGACGCCTTTTTCTCAGGATGAGGTGGTGGCAACCACACTTCCAAGCAAAGTTAAATGTACAAAGGAAATCCACTTCACATATCCTGATGAGGGAAGGAGGCACATTTACTCACACGCCACCCAAAACGTATAGGCTTCTGTAGAGTGGCTGTATATCGACTCAGTCCCAACTATATACACACACGGGAAGAATAAATCTTAATGATGTGAGGCTGAAATGTGCGGTTTTGAGGTTCACGTTGCCAGTGTCCTTGTGCCTTTCCTTTGGGTGGGTCATGCCTCTCTTCAGTTGATGGCTTCTGGAGGGCTTCTGTTTGGTTTGGCAGTCTGGGCTGGGGCCGGGCTTAAAAAACCCATTTGTCCCTTGACTTGGCTCAGAGCTGACCCTCAGGAGTGTCTCTGTTAACAAGGGTGTGACGAGGAAGCCCAGAGACACGTGCCTGTGAGTGCCCCCTGCAGAGGTTGGGATACTGTGGCGGTGGATGACGACAGCCTGTGAGAGACTGCCCACTGAGGTCTCCTCAGGAGATGAGTTCATGAAACTGGAAGAGCTTTTTTTTTTTTTTTTTTTTAAAAGAGCTCAGTGGTAGGCAAGGCCCTGGGTTTGGTCCTCAGCTCTGGGGAAAAAAAAGGGGACTCTTTCTACAGGTGTGGGATGTACCTAAGAAACTAATTAAAGGGGAGCCAGGACTGGGGGCACATGGCTGTAATCCCAGCACTCAGACTGAGGCAGGAAGATGTGAGAATTTAAGGCTAGCCTGGGCTACACAGGAATACTCCATCTCAAAAAAAAAAAAAAAAAGACTAGAGATATAACTTCAGAATAAGATGTTTGTCTAGAATGTGGAAGGCCCTGGGTTCTGGAGGAGCTGTGAAGATAACTGACAGGACCGGAAGCTCCTCACTGTTGGGCCTTCTGGAGACAAGTGTTCAAGGTTGCTGCCATTCTTGAGGGGTGTGAACCATGACAGCCTGAGAGGGGGGGGGAGAGTAAACACCCTCTCCTTTCAGGCTCCTGCGGGGCCCGTCCTTGTCAAGAACAGCCGGACACTGGGGAACAAGGGAACCATTGATGCCGTCCAACAGCCTCCCCAGGGCCCTGAGCAGAAGGGTGGGTAGGGGATCTGGAGGGGCCAGCAGACCGTGTACCTGCCTGGGGGTCTCCATCACTGTGACTTGGGCCCTCTGATTTGTATGCTGCTAGGGAAGTGGGGGGTGGGTTGTTGCTGGTACAGCGGCTGAAGGACGGACTCTCCCCTCAGCTGTGCTGATTCCAAATTCCTGTTGCCTGCACATCCCAGCATCCCTAGATGGCGACAGGGATGGTCCACAAGAACAAAGTCAGGTACAGAGTGTTTTTCTCACACCCGGAAACAATGCACCACACCCACAGGGTTACTAGTGCCCTGTTGCCACAACAGGTCCCAGACAGTCACCCCAAGCCATGACTGTTGGCACAGGTACATCAAGAAAATGTATGTCTTGGCACATTACTACACTCTGCCAGTCACACAGAAAATAGCCTGAGCCTTGCCACATAGGTACAGGAGACAGACTTGTTACCATCATTCATGTGGAATTACAGGGCAGGGGTGGGATGCAACATCTTGAGTCTGACAAACCTCTGTGACCCCTTGGGCCTGTTTTGTCTCTAAAATGGAAATACTATTCTCTGGAGTTGTTACAAGGATGCAACTCCAAGTGTTTGCGCGTACCTAAGCATGGCATCTGGCATGGAAGAAATCAGGCTGGACAGCTATTGCTATCAACTGTCCCCACCCCCCACCCCTGAGCGCACTTCCTCACATCCATGCACGTGTGCGTACCGGCTCCAGAGAGTACCCACACCCACACAGGACCGGCCAGACATCCTCAGGCACACGTGCCCTCCTTCAGACATGCCTGCCAGGGCACGTGTGCATTCACAGACAAGTTCCCTTGGCCCAGAACACTTTCTCCAGACAGCTACATGGCTCACTTCCCAGAACCTGTAAGTCTGTTCAATCAAATACCATCTCAGTGAGGGGCACCTTGTCTGAATTAAAGTCCCTTGTTACATTTTTATGCATTGCTGACCTTCTAAGACCACACTGTTTACCTTATTAGGGTGTAACTGTCACAAGGGTAGGGATCCTAAAACCCAGAACCATAACAGGCAAACCCCAGAACCGTAACAGGCTACGGTTGAGTTCAGACAGTGCATGCAGACCGAGACCAGGACCTGGGTTTCTCATCTGAAGCAAGCACATCCAGGTGAATGCTCACCCAGCCAGCCCACTGAGCCTGCTGTTTACACTGTTCCCAGCTCAGGTTCGGGCTCCTGAGTGTGGCTAAACCAGGAGATAGGGGAAGTTGTCTCTCTCAGCCCCTTAGGGGACTGACCACAGCTGGGTGGGGTAGGACCGCCTTTTCAGTTGCCCCTCCAGCCATTCCGAGGCATGAGCAGAAGGAACTGAGGCACCTAGCCAAACCCACAGAGCAGGTGAGGACTCCCTCTGATGACCTGGGGTCTCCTTTGCTGCCTTATTTTTTTTTCCACCCTGACTGGAACTATCAAAGTCACCACTTCAGAGAAGCCTAATGAGGCTGAATATGTTAAAAAGCTTTGCGATCCCCAGATCAAAGGGGCAGGGTAAACAGTGGGCAGCGTTCAGAGGTGAGTGGCCCATGCCCTGAGGGAACAGCTCCCCAAAAGCTGGCACTGCTGGGTTCAGAGAGACCGCAGCCCCTCTCCAGGGGACCTGTTTACAACGAGCTAAAGCTGGCTCATGTCCACTTGCTAGGGAGACCCTACCTGGACTCTGGGGACCCTCCAGGTCCCCCAGCCTGAGTTTCCATTCCAGTTCAGATTCACCCTGCTTGCTTCCTGGGGAGACGGAGTGGGCAGACCTGCTCACCAAAGGCCAGGTTCAGGCTGGAGAGATGGATATATAAATCCCCTTGAACACGAGGTCTAGACTTGCTGAGGAAACATGAGGAGACCAGCCACACTCCCAGTTCACAGTTGTCAGGCTGTGGACAGGACGGACACTCCACAGCCACTCTGGCTCCTCCCACAATACAAGCCAAACAGCCTGGGAGGTAGTGCCAGCCCTCTGTCCCGGAGATCCTTACCCCAGGAGAAAGCATACAGTTATGCTCAGTGTCCACAGTTTTTATTGGCGGGAAGTGTGCAACACAGCAAATCTAGAGAAATGGGCAAAGAGCCGGGGTATGCCTCCCTCCCTATGTGAAAACCCTATAACCGAGCAAGTGGGTGGGGGAGTCGACCGTGGCAACCTTGAACCCAACCGCCTCCGATGTGTAAGTGTGCAGACGGCGGCGGGGTTCCTGGGAGGCAGAGGGGAGGGAAAGGGTGACGCACTGGGCGGTGTATGGGAGGTGTATGGGTTGCATCCTATCGTGGCTGTTTAGAACCTGTCCACTATAAAGCTCAGCACCTCAAGAAGTCCATACAAGTTGCAGGAGACTACATTCCCATCCCTCCAAACACCCAGGGAGCTTCCTGACGGCCAGCGAGGTTGGGCCACGAGGCTCTGAGTCATCCAGCTAGACCCCAAGTGCGTGTTCCTGTTACATGATGTCATATTTTAGCCAGTGTAGGAGCTTCTGGGTCCCTGTGGGCTGACCCCATCCTGGCCGCGGAAATCCACCCACGGTGTTGCTACTGAGACCTACCACCCAGGCTGGCTTTGTTCTTTCCAGGCAAGTAGCCTCAGTGACCCACGTCACGCGCAGGTCCAAGAGTGGGGTGCAAGGACCAGACGGCCCTCCTGTCAAGAACCTGACTTGGCTCTAAGTCCATAGGCGCCCTATGCGGGAAAGGTCTGGGCTGTTCACAGGTCCAACCCTGTAGCACTGGGGCCAGCTGGCACAGGCAGCCTGTGTCCTGGTCGCATCCCCCCACACATCCCTGATGACCCCCGCCCCACCCCCCATGAAGCTCGTTCCTTTCTGGCCAGGATCAGAGTCAGTTGCAAGGCAGCCAGGTGGGATAGGAGTGAGCCCGGGGCAGCAGAGGCTGCATGGGGGTCACGTAGTAATTAACAGTGGCTGGCACCACCCCATCAGAGCCTGGACGCCGCCAGGCCAAGGCGGCGGCGGCAGCGGGGCCCTGCTCAGCCAGCGCCTGGAGGGCTAGCATGGCGATGAGGTCCAGGGTCTGGCGGCGCTCGTGGCTCATGAGGCACACGGTGCTCTCATTGACCACCTGGTGCAGCGTCCCGAGGCAGGCATACCGGCGGGCCGCGTCGGCTCCGCCAAAGTGGGCCTCCAGGTAGCGCTCCAGAATGCGCCTCTGCTCCACCAGGTCCGGGAAGTCGATGAAGAAGCGGGAGCACATGTATCGCTGCAGGGCGCGGACGTCGGTGCTGGGCCTTGGCCGGAAGCCCCGCACCAAGAGGTGGCAGTACTTGAGGAGGCCGCCGCCGCGGATCTCCTCGGGGCTGCGTGTGGCAATGACGCGGTGCTGCAGGTGCTCCAAGGCCTCGGCAAAGTCCCCGTAGAGGCTCTCGCCTGTCACGGTGGGGTGGAAGTCCTCTGACATTGGTGTGGGGGAGCAC